TGACTACATGACACTTCAAGCCTAAATAAAAGAATCAGAATCAAGCTGGAACCAGTTCTGCCCCTCCCCTTAGAAGTACTCAGAGAAGATACTAATGCCAGTGAATTGTGAGTTTACCAGCATTAGAAGAGGCAGATGATGGCTTGAAGACAAGATCCTAATGACACCACACTGAAAAGGGAAGGAGTCAGAGAGTGAACAATAAGGAAGCAAAAGGGGGTAGGGCAGAGTGAAATTACTAAAAACCATAGGAGGAAGAAAACTCAATTAATGACTTTGAGTGTAAGCAGATAAACCAACAAGGAGAATAATAATAACAGGAGGTAATAAAACCTCAAAATCAGGTAAAAGAGTCCAGACATCTAAAACTGAGTATTGCAAAACAAAAGAAAATGAATTAACACCTGATGAGACAGAGGATCCTGTTTATTCCCAAGACAGCATGGAATCACAGCAGGATATTCTTGAATGGTTAAAAAGAGAAGTAGGAATTGTGAAGTATAATTTTATTCTTTATAGCACAAAAAAAATTGTAAGAAGAGAAAAACTTGAACCCCAGGTTGTAAGTTTTACCAAAGGAAAAAAAGAGAATAACAAAAGAGAGTAGACATGTAAATGCACAAAAAGAAAAAACAACTTGGAAGAAGAGAAGCAAAAAGCAATAATGTTAAAAGAATATATAATCTTTATACAAGCAGACTGTATTGATCTGAAAAACAGGATGCATAAAGAAAACTTAAGGATTATAGGTTTTTATGGTTAAAAAAAGAAGTAGCAACCAAGCAGATCAGTTGAGAAATGGATAAACAAATTGTACCTGAATATAATGGAATATTACTGTGCCATAAGAAGCAATTAATGGTATTGCAGAGACATATGGGAAGATTGATATGAACTAATACAAAAACAAGTAGAATCAAGAAAATTGTATATATATTATATATATATAATGAATGCAAAATATAAGTGGAAAGAAAAACAAAATAAAACAGAACATTTTATAAATCTAATAATAAAGCTTGGCCCCATTGAAAAGATAAGAAAATGCACTTCCCTCTCTTCTTTTCCAAGGTGGGAGACTATGGTTATGGAACATTGCACATATGGTCAGAGATGGTTAGTATGTTCATTCGTTTGGCTAATTTTCTTTTTCTCCTTTTTTACTATTTGTTATAAGAAAAGACTCTCTGGAAATTAAGACAATGCAAAAACAAAAGGGTTAATTTTCTTTTTTAAGAAAAAGACTTAAGAAAAGGGAATAGCATTTTATATGGCTGTATTCAGCTTAGATTTCTTTCTTTCAAAACTGGTTAGAACATTTGTCAATTGAGGAATGGCTCTTTTTCTTACAAATTTGAATCAGTTCTTCATATATCTTGAATATTAAACCTTTATTAGAGAAACATGCTTCAAATTTTTTTACCAGTTATTTTCCTTTTACTCTTAGTTTTATTAGACTTATTTGTGAAATTTTTTTTAAATTTTATGTTATCAAAAGTAACCATTTAATAATATGTGGTGCTCTCTATTCTCTGATCATGAATTTTTCTTCTATTTATATTATATAAAGACATATGGAAAAGTGCTCCAAAGGACTACTAATTAGAAAAATGAAAATTAGAATAATTCTGAGATTTTACCTTGCACCCATTAGAGTAACAAAGATAACAAGAAAGGTAAATTATAAATGTTGGAGGGGCTGTGGGAAAGCAGGCACAGCTATATTGCTGGGTATACATACATACATACATACATACATATATATATATATATTATATATATATATATATATATATATATATATAATATATATATATAAGAAAACTTAGTCTCTCTCATGCTCAACATTGCTCATTTCCATATTTTGCTGTTACAGAAGGATAAGGATTGGGAGGGGATGGGGGAAATTTCATTGCGAGCCACCCTATTACAGAGGATTCCTACATTCACTCTGCAAGCAGTCTCCAGTCCAGAGTGAAAAGTCATCAGGTGTTGCCATGGCAACAGAGCACATATTGTGTCTCTTCCCATAAGCAATTCTAACCTGCCACCCTGGCTTCTGGATTCTTTTTCACAAACTATGTTCTCTTATGTGCTGTGTTCTTTTGCCTTTTGTCACTCACAGCCCAGTAAATTCCACCACAGGCACTCTTTTATCTTTTACTTGTACACACCCCTATCTCTCTTCCTCCTTCCTCATTCTTTTCCATGTCTTATGCAATTACCTGAGGAACTAAATTCTTTCCATGTGTGTGTGTCTCTCTCTTTCTCTCTGTCTCTGTCTTTCCCCAACCCTTTTCTGCCTACTCTGCTGCCAGGGTACTCTTGGCAAACAGAGTATCCCTTAGCTTAAAAAGGCCAAAGTCTCCCACTGCATACAGGACCATCTCCAGTTATCCTGATCTATGTTTTGCCACTGGATCCAGATGACTCAGAGGAGTGAGGCTGGTGACTTTGCACAGCCTTGCCTCACTTAAATCCAATTCACTTGCAAGTCAAGATATCACCTTCCCGATGTCATTGCTCCTCTTTTAGAACGAGGACAAACAATGTTTCATTGCAAAATAGCAAGATGTTAGTGCTAAAAAATATCTCAGAGAGATTATCTAGTCCAATCCCCTTATTTTTTGCATAAGGAATCTAGACAGATAAAGTCTTTTGCTCAGGGTTACACAATTAACAAATGCTCTTTTGCACTATGCATGACACTTCCTCCAAGGAAAGTGCTATGCTGATTTAGAATCATTTATGAAGAATATGTACTCTATAGCCTTTAAACAAAAAGATGTCCATGAAAGAGTTAAAACTATCATTTAGCTTTTTTTTTTTTTTGGTAATGGCTTGCCAAAAGTAATTCACTTAATAAAGAGAAAAACTTGGAACCAAATAGCTGCATATATATGTATGCGTGTATAAGTATATGTATGTGCACACATATGTATAATATGAGAAAAATTCAGTAAATTATATTCAAATCCTCTGTTTTCCTTTTATCTTCAGATTTTATTTGAAGAAATTCAAACTTCAGCTTCTGACCTCTTCATTTTTCAATGTTCCTTGCCAAGTATTTTGGTGACGGCTTCCTGCTTTCTAAGTAAGTCAGTCCATGTGGCAGTAATTTACTGTATCACAAAATTAAATAGTCTTTATGCAGTATGACCTAGTACAGAGAATAAGCCTTGAAGTCAAAGGACCTGGTTTCAAGTCCTGCCTATAACACAGATTAGCTGTGACCACGAGCTACCAAGGACAGTTCGCTACGACTATAAATAGAATGTAAACTCCTTGAAAGAGGTTCACATTTGTCTTGATATCCCCAGAGCCTAAGACAATGCCTTTCCCATAATAGTCTCTTAAAGACTTTTTTCATTTATTAATTGATTGATAAATCAGAAGAATGGCCAATCTGTATCTTTTTTTTTTTTTTGGTGAGGCAATTGGGGTTAAGTGATTTGCCCAGAGTCATATAGCTAGTGAGTGTTATGTGTCTAAGGCCGTATTTGAGCTCAGGTCCTCCTGACTCCAGGGCTGGTACTCTATATACTGCACCAACTAGCTGCCCTTGGCCAATCTGTATCTTAAATAATAGTAACCATATTTATAGAGTGCTTTAAAGTTTGCAAAACACTTTATATATTTTATCTCCTTTGATATTCCCAACAACCCATTGAGGTAGGTGCTATTATTGTCCCTATTCTACAGATGAGGAAACTGAATCTGAGAGAAGTTAAGTGACTTGCCCAGGACCATTCAGCTAGTAAGTGTTTGAGGTGGTATTCACACTCAGAGCATTCTGGCTTCAAATCGAATGTTCTCTCCACTAAACCACATGCTCAGTAAAGAGAATTTCCTTATCAAGATTTCTTCAAAAGTACAAAATTCCAGGTCCAGGCAAAAAAAAAATTAAACAACTCTGATCCTTTGATAGTTTGATAGTTTCATGAATAAGGCTATTATATCCATGGACAGAGATTGCAACAGCATTTCATCCTGTTACATTCAGTATAAAGTGGAGAGTTTAAGGACCTGGCTTCAGTTTCTGAATGTGCTGCTTACATATGTGTGATGTTGACCAAGTCATTTTTGTTCTTTGGGCCTCAGTTTCCTCATCTGTAAAACAAAGTGCTTGGATATAGATAATAAATCTATATTGTTTTCGTCCATCTCTTTCCTTAGGCTCCATAGAAAATCCATACAACACCCTTAGTAAATTGTTTGGGGGTAGAAAAGGTCAAATCCATTTTTCTCCAGTACTGGATATACAAAACACCCAGCTAATTAGCTGAATCCATCCCATCTCATCTGGTTGAATTCATGTCATGCAGACAATATCCTTTAGAATTATAATTTCCAAGCTTCTCAATTTTTTTTAAATTTTTGATCTGGACCTATGATTCTATTGTTATAGGAAACTCTTTTCACAGATGCAAATCCTCCAGACCTTTTAAACTTATAGCCTTAGAGAATTTTCCGGAATGGGGGGTTGGGCACAGAGAGATTAAGCAATTTGTCCAGAGTCATATAGTCAACATATAGGAGGGACAGGACTTGTAGCCCACTTTCTGGATCACAGATTTAGAGCTAGACAGGATTTAGCCCAATTCTCTCTCCAATTTGCAAATGAGACCACCATGATCCGGGATGTTAAGTGACTTGCCCAGGATAATACAACTGCCTAGTGTTGAAGGCAGAACTTGAACCCAGGTCTTCTGACTCTATTTCAAGTGCTTTTCCCACTATACCATACTTTCTCTCAATCTCAGAACCACTTCATGTTAATTCCTTTCTCTACATGGGAGACTATCCCTGAACCACAATATTTTTCTAAATAGTCATTTCAAAAGTAAGCCCCTAAAGTACCCTGGAAGAAAGAAAGAAAAATGCTATTCCCTGTCCTGGGGCTGAGTGAGGGTGGAAGGGGGTTGGGGAGAAGGCACAACATTTTTGCTCCTTGGACCCACTGAAAAGCACTTTTCATAACTGAAAAGCAAAGGAGTTACCTCTGTTCATTCGCCAAACGCTGCCTCCAAATGTCTCAGGAATCTTTATCCTAGGTCTTCATCATCGTCCCAGGTTTCCCAATGGTGAGCAAAGATTTGTTTCCTTTTGGTGCTTTTTTTTCCTCTTTCTCTGCTGTTGCTGTTGCTTTTGTTTATGGCTTGTTACTAAGCGCTCACAGGGGACTGGCAAATGGCTAGAAGAGTCTACAATTACTTCCTTGACTCTTACTATGTCACAATTTGATGTTCCTGCTTTGCTTTCAAGAATTAACTTTTCAGCAGCCTGCTTCCAGGGAGTCTAGGGTACAACCCATGGGTAAGAACTCAATTGGATTACTAGATGCCTAAGACGTCAGACTGAAAGCTAAGTCACGGGCTTTTGCACTGAGGTCACTTTCAACCCTGAGCCCAATCAAGAGAGGCTGCCCAGCAAGAGACCAATTGACCATTCCATGAGTAGTCTTAGTTTTCATTAACTAGGAAATCCCCCACATTCTTTAACAGAGACGAAGACTTTGAACCTATTCTTTGATGAAGAAATGTAGCAGTGTGAAACTGAAACGTATTTCTTAAAACTTTGGACTAAAATAGGAAGGAAACATAGGAAGTGCTCTGAGCTGAGCTGCTAAGGAAAAGGCAGCTAATAACGAGTGGGGAGAGAGAAGGCTATTTCTTTGGGTCTTTGGGTCAGAGAGACTAGCACAGAACAAATCTGTATGCTCCCCTGCATCAATGAAGACCAAGAACAGACCTATGAAACTGTTAAGTCAACAGCAGTTTCCAGCCATGCCAGTCTCTCTTTTTCCTATATCAATGTCTCTTTTGGGGGACGTTTCTTCTTGGTTTAGCTAAGAGAAACCTGGCCAAAAAATCCCCCAAGTCTGGGAGCATGGAAAAGGAGATCTATGTGAATATTTGGTGAGCCCACTTCTGGAAGTTGATGAAGCAGGTTAATAAAATATCTATCTGGATCCGTGGGTCCCATGTGTCTCAAAAGACTACATTCTCTCGATTTCTTTCTCTAATTGTGGCTTTTTGTTTTTAAATCAGTTATTTCCCATTGAATCCTCCCTTATAATCAAAGAAAAAGATTAAAGGTAAAACCAACATAGAGTGACCATATCTGTTAGCAAAAATATTCCACATCCATTTAGTCTCCTTTCCCATCCTTCACCCTTAATCACATACATACACCATTGTCACACTAATGAGAAGAGGGAACTGTTTTACAGGATCAGTTCTCTAGGATGGAGATTGTTCATTATAATTCATCACAGTCCAACTACCTTTGAGTGTTCTCATTTACATTATTTTTTTAACTTGCTCCTGCTTTCTACACTTTGCACCACTTCATTCAAGTCTTCCCTACTTCTCTAGATTCCTCACATTGGTTATTTCTTGGAGCACATTGCCTTCACATACCACAATTTGTTCAGGCATTGTCCAATTGATAGGCATTCATTTTGTTTCCAGTTTTGTTTCATTGCTACCATAAAAACTGTTGCCATTAGCATTTTGTAGTGTATAGGTCCTTTATATCTGGGATCAATGGTTTGGAACAAGTCAGTAATTTTCTTATATAATTTCAGATTGTTTCTCAATTATTGGACCAATCAATAGCTCTACAATGTTCCACTTTTCCTATAGTCCTTCCAATGCTGATCATTTTTATTTTTAAAATCATCCTTGCCAATTTTCTGGGCATGAGGTGAAACCTCAGCATTGATTTCATTTAAGTTTATCTTTCTGTTTCTTTTCTGGAAACTTTTCATGAGGTTATTAAGCATTTCCTTTTCGTTTTCCTCTAAATAAATGATGTGTGCATTCTAAAATATTCACAAATATAAAAAGAATGGAATCTGGATTAATGAAGATTTCTATATTTAAATATATATAGTTGTAGCATGTTACAGAGGATAGAGGTGGATGTTGGAATATGGAAGATTGGGGTGCCTCTCCCACCTCTGATATAAACTGCTATGTGATCCTAGGTCAGTCAACCTCTCAGCACCCTGGGAAATTCTTTTAGAATACAAATAATAGAGCAGTTGCTAACCTACATCAGTGTAGGGAGTTTTTTCCCCTCAGAGATAGACCTATACTTATAGCTTCCTAGCCTTAAAACTGCACCATTTTAAATGGAGTATCAATGTAGCTAACTGCAGTTCACAACCTATTCATCCTTGGAGATTTTTGTCTATGGCCTCCTGTAAATCTACCACAATGGGGTCCCCCTCCATATAGGGTCTCTTCTTATCCTGCTTTCTCCATCTGTCCATTTTTCTGATGGTATCCTTTATGCACTTTTCCTGTAGAAACATAGTGTCATACCAATCAACCAATCATCAAGCAGTTATCAAGCGCCTAATATGTGTCAGGCACTGTGCTAAGCATTGGTAATACAAAGACAAAAAGAAACAGTCAATTCTACTCCTTTGAGAAGCTGGAATGGTCTGTCTAGCTCACTTTTCTCATTTTACAGTTGAGATAGCTGAGATACACAGAGGGTAAACGGCTGGCCTAAAGCATACAGACAGTTACAAATTCAGGATCTGAACCCAGTCCTTCTACCTTTAAATCCAGAGTTGTCTAAGTGTTGGGGGGTTTTTTCTGTACCACGTAACATTCTGCTTCATTTGTACTGTGTTTCAGCATGCTTGTGCTCACTGTTTACTTCTGCATTGCCCTTTGGGTGAACCTCAGAATTCGAGTTATTTTACTTTATTAATTTTTGGAGGCAATTGGGGTTGTGAGTTACCCAAGGTCACATAGCTAGTAAGTGTCTGAGGCAGATTTGAACTCAGGTCCTCCTGACTCCAGGGCTGATATTCTATCCACTGAGCCACTTAGGTGCCCCTGTTTTATAAATCTTAGGGAACCTCACAAAGACTAAACAACATACTATAGTCATACTGCTAATAAATGTTAAAGGCATAATTAGAATCCAGATCTTCCTAACCCCAAACTCAGCACTCTACTATGCCATCTTGCTAACATAAATGACAATTGTTGTTGTTGTTATCACCATCATCATCATCACTAGTAATCTCAGTTTACCATGACCATTGGATGCCATTTAGATCACAAGCCCAGAACAGAAATACCCTTTTCACCCAGTAACAACATATCCTAATCGCAAAAATACAATCTAGGAGAAAAGAAGCAACGTCCTGAGCAAATCCAAACTTTTAAAAGTAAGGAGAAATTATATAATGCAGCCCTTCTTCAGACCACATCTCTCTGGCTCTGCCATTATTTCTTTGCTCCTGAGACTAATAACTTTTGTTTTTGCTATTCCCAAGTCAAAGAAAATTTCACGTGAGTCATTTGCAGTGGAATATTGAGAGTTAAGGGGTTAATTGAGTCAGAAGAACTGTTCAGATCTGAGATAATCTCAGAGTCCTGGCTGCACCAGCGCTGCAAAGATGCTTCTAGTAATTATTGTTGCCAACTGGGGAGCATGAGATGGATGAATAGTGCTGGGTCCTGCTACCATCCAACATCACCCAACATATCCAGTCATGCATGAGACACAGAAGAACCAAGGGAAAGAACCAAAGCTGGCAGACAAGAGCATAGCCAGGAACAAGAATGCTAGCCAATGAAATAAAGAATTGGGGAGAGGGGGCAAATCAAGACAATCTAGGCAAATGAAGAACTTGAAAGCAGAATGCAGGAACAGGGAAGCCTGGGTCAAAACTGCCATGAGGCTGGAATCCAGGAGGAATGCAATCAGAGTCATGGCTAAGGGGAGTTTTCTCCTGATTAGATTCTCAGTATTTGGTGACTCATTTTGACTGGGTATAACCCTGTAGCTGGCTTTTACTCTTCCTCCAGAAACTCACAGTCCTCCTACTACTAAATGCCTAGGTCTGATAGGGAATATCTCTAATCATAATGTTTCGTACAACATGTCAACAGTTTCTTCTTTAGAGCTCTTGACTTGATTAATGAACTTTAATCTACAAATTATTCATGCTGAATTTGGCCCAAATCTACTCTATATCCATTGTATTCTTTTAAATCAGTAATTAGATGTGAACATGGTATTTTTAACTACTACCTTGCCTCATACCTGTGTCATTAGCAAAATTGATTTCTACTTGACCCTCTACTTTGGATGCATCATACCTGATGCCATCCTTTACTATTCTAATCACTCTGTGATACCTGACATATTAGGGAGGAAATCTTCCGCACTTCCATGTTTTCTCCTAGTCAGGAAAGACAACACAGCTGAGCCCTAGGGGAGGAAGGCAGGAGGCATAGCTGCTGAGCCAGAAGAGTCCTATAGCATTTCCACCAAAACAGGAACTGTGATTAGCCAGCATTTTTAAGAAGAGAAGAATAATGCAACCATTGCTAATGTTTCTTAAACCAATCCCCATGATTCTACTGATAACTGAGCAATTGCGTGCAAGGAGGGGGAAAAAAGGAGGAAGTAAGCAGCTAAGACTATCTGTTGCAGGTACCTTTTTTTGAGAGGTAGCATGATGTATTGCAGTGGTGTCAAACTCAAATAGAAATGGGAGCCTCTAAATCATGTGTAAGGACCTGTGGGCTGCATACAGACTTATGAAACCATGTATTAATATTATTTGTTTTGTTGTACTTTTTGTTTATTTCATTAAATGTTTCTTAATTACATTTCAATCTGCTTTGGGTATCACTCTGGAGTGTCATGGGCCACATGGAGCTGCAGGAGGCATGTTTGATATCTCCAATGCGGTGTATAGAGTGCTGCTCTTGGAATCAGGAAGACCTGGGTTCCGATCCTGCCTCAGTCACTTACTAGCTGTGTGACTCTAGACAAGTCACTTACCTTTCTGCACCTCACTTGTAAAACAAAGGGGAGGGCTTGTGCTCTATGGCCTCTAATATCTCTGTTAGCTCGAAATCTATTATCCTATGCAAAATCACCAAGTCCCAGAAATCTTCCCTGCCATGTATGCCAGGTTTGTGGTGGTGGTGGTGGTGGTTGCTGTTGCTGCTGCTGGCATTGTCATTTTATAGGGAGGGGTGAGGTTTTTTTTTTAATTTGTGTCTTTGATCAGTTTTTTGTTTTTGGTTTTATTTTTTTCCCTGCTGATATATCTCACATTCTGGGAAGGTAGACATGAAGACATGTGTTGTGTGTTTTCCTAGAGCAGTAATTCTTAACCTTTTTTCTGCATGTTACCCC